TTGATTTTTCTTTGTTAAAGCACCAGCGTGGGTCGGCCTTTTTCTGTTTGTTAATATATTGAATTCTTAGTATGTCCCTTTTGATGATTTGATATGGTGGAGATCAAGTTGGAAGTTATTGATGTGAAAATCTTCGAAATATCTCCAAGCTCTTCGTCGTTATATCCAACAAACCACTCATTAGTTTCACAAATATCTTTCAATGAAATTGATCAATGTATGCAACTTGTTTCGGAGAAAGGGTACCGTCAAGTTATAGCGGAGGTGGATAGTCAATGCTTGGTGAACATAGTCCTTGGCACTGAGAATAACTTTGGAGCACACGAGGTGCTAGTGAAGGCCATACGCTTACGTGATTCAAAGGAAGTGGAACGTTGAGATTCGTCATGCGCATAGATAAGCCAATTTTACAACTGATCACATGGCCAACTTGGCTACGTCTTCCTCGATCGGGCTTGAGATCATGCTTGTACCTCTACCTGAGTTTGGGGGTGTGGCTCGAACATGACATTGTAGGAGTGTGTCACCCACGTCAAGTTCCAGTCTAATCACCAGGGCTTATAAGCCTCCAAAAAGAAAAAAAAAAGTATTATCGTCGCAAGACTCCATTATACTTAACAAACACTAGATCATGTAGTCACTTGTGATCCAGTATGTTTCTTTTCTTCGAATGAATCAACAAAAATAATTACCTCACATTAATATAAATTACATTAGCTTTTTTTTTTAAATAGTTTTTTGTTCTAAAAAATAATAAAGTATTGAATAAACACTTACATGCTAAAAAATACTCAAGGTTTGGTCACATGCATAAGAGCTAATACTTAATAGTCATTGATTGACTTTTTCTACAATTCGCTCATCCCTGACTTATATGATGCCCACCAATCTGTCAGCTCTTTCACAGTTCTTTGTGTAACCGCTATGCCTACCAAACAGACCCTCACCCTTTCTATACTTGGTCACAGTTAGGCTCAAAATTGGATCATTTATTTGTCACTTTTTACCTCCTACAAATCGCTATTAAACTCTAAAGAAGCGCCACAATACTTGAGATATGTATAAAGGAACTAATGCTAACCCGATGACATACAAAGGTCGATGCAACTGAATATTCTAACTATGACCGATGATTTCGAAACTTTTTCGTAATTGTTCTCATTCACTTGAAACTAGTTTATATAGATCATTTAGCTCTACCCATTGCCTCGTAAATATATCTCATTGAACTTTTTTCCCACCATCAACAATCCAAATTATGTGAACAAGAGGTGAAGACAATTTCAAAACAATTGAAACATTATTCCAAAATAAAGGCGATCTTGATTACCTTCTTTAAGAAGAACTAATTTTATACCGATTTAGCGGTTTTATTTTTCGTAAGTGGAATATATTGAAAATTCTCAAAATTATTTTAAGGTGAATGAGAAATTAATTATAAGTGTTATATGTAGAATAATTGAGTTTAAGTAACTCAAAGGTTGAAGGGTTCACAAACAATATGTTTTTGAGCCATAATCATGCATTATGTATGCTATAACTGTAGAAGTGCTCGTTGGGGAGTAGGAAAAACTAGAACTCGATTCTGAGCCCGAACGAGCGTACGAGCTCCCCACGTAGAAAATCATCCGTATGAAAAGAAGATTGAGGAGTGGGTAGCCTTAATTTATATATATGGATGTTTTAAAAAAAAATTACATCTTCATTAATAATGTTCTATAAGTATAAATATATAAAATATAGTATTTGAAGTATATACTAGTACGTACCCCGTGCGATGCACGGACAAAGATATTAAATGAGTTATTTTCACAGCCTTGTCCTTTTAAGTCTAAAAAGTAATAATGTTATTATCTATTTTTTACGTCTTTTAATCAACGTTAAGTCTATAAAATTAGTAAGCCGCCCTCTGGCAATATGTATGGAGTTATGTGTTCGTGTCTCATAAGTCACAAACATTATGAATAACATTACAAATTATTCATTCAAACTTTTATTCATTGCAAATATATTAAAATAGTTTATATAACAACCATTAAATACCACTTTCAATATATTTATAAATAAAATGTACACAAAATTTCTGGTGTGTTCAAATTTAAATAATTTTTGATGGGCTCAATTTTAAATCATCCAGACCATTGGTCAAACGCATAGGTGTGTTCAAATTCAAATCATTGACATTTTGGTCGGTTGGAACTTAAATCATCTAACATGATACTGTGATGTGTATTATTTTTTAATAAATAATATGTGCTTTATAAAAATAATAATAATAATTTCACACAAAATTTTAAACGTAAAATTTGGTTTTTAATCACAACAGAAAAATCATGTTAAGTTGTATTGAAAAGGTGTTATGAGATAAAATAATTAACTAAAATAATTAAATAAAATACTTGATGGAAATATAATGCATTAATTACCTTTGATTTTTCTTACTACTAATTCTAGTAAATAGAATACATTTTTCTATAAGTATAGATAGATATCTTTTAAAAAAATAAATAAATGATGATAAACCACTTAACTCTATATAAACCTTCGTCCTAACAAATGAATGAATAGGACCAGGAAATAGATAGTGAGAGCCACAGGGCCACGGAAGAAGATAAGGTGGTCTTCGTACGCCCAAAACAAGAATATTCATAGATACAATTCCCCTACAAAATCTCCTGTTTTAGGGTTTTGGAGCATGTAGCAGTATATATCAAAAAGGAAACAAAAAAAATGGCGGTTTTATCTCTGACTACTGCGACACTTCCAACTCAGTCTCGCATATCCTCCCTTGTCAAGTTCACCACCGACCCTCTCTCCGGCCGCAGACGAGTCACCACCGGAAAACCGCTACTTGCCTCATCATCATATTCCAGTCCCACGATTTTGAAGTCCAACCGCCGGTCCAAGTCCAGCCAACCGCTGTCCCTCAATGGCGCGGCTGACGACGAGGACGGCACTGATGCCGAAGTCGATGACGACTGGTATAGTGACGTATGTGTTCCTATTTTCTCGTATATTTATTGCTGTCATTCTTCTTCTATTTGGTGTAGAATGTATAATTTTTATCAGTAAATTGAATTATTCAACAAATTGTAAAATTGCATGTGTTGAATTTTTCACGCAGTCCGTATATCTGGGCTTCAACGCTTTTTCCAACTAGAGGTTTATTTGATTGAAAGAGAATCTCTACTTTACTATGTTCAGCCCAGCTGATCGAAGAAAGTTATGAAAGACGGTGGTTTGAAGCTACTTTCTTCTGGATATATTCTTACTTAGGATATGAGCAGAGACCTAGATTTTGACCGAGATGATGTTGTTGAAAAAATGATTTTTGTCTCATTGATAAATTTTAAGAGAGTATAATAGATAATTGAACTTATCGGCGTATTGGGTTGTAGAGCAAAACTAGACTTGTGTCTCAGTTGTTTACGACGACTCTTTCATTTAGATGTATCCGTAGCTTCACTAAATCTTCTTTTGCAGATTAGATACTCAAATTCTTACAGAAAGTACAATGGCATGACTATTGCATTTCAATCCTCTTAGAGTCAATTATTTCCATTTTGGAAATTTTTAGATTATCGAGTATCTGGCCCATTAGGCTTAATTAAGAAGTTCAATGGGGAGTATAAAATGTCCATTAGCCTATTTGCATTATATCGTAATGCAATGGACACTATATTTCAGGTTTTTTAAAACTTCGGTTTGAGCTATTTTTCGAGTCGAATAAGTTTACCAAATTGTCCTTGCAAATCAAACTTCCATCTGAATGTGTCCTAATGTGATCCAATTAATACTTCCTTTCGGCTTGCCACACGCTCATCTACTGCCCAATCATCCATCTTAAAAGATGAGTAAAATAGTCCATGTTGATTTAGTTATCACTGCACCATTGACAAACTGTTAGTCATGTAATGATTTAAGTTCTCCAGGATGAATTTGGGGATATTAAAATTTCTGAGGCTGACAGGCAGCGGCTGAAGTTGAAGAGCGTTGCTATCAAGGGACGAGGTATTCTTCAAGAACTAAGATATGCCTTTTGTATTACTTTAATATAATCGTATTGAAGGAAGATTCTTATTTACAGGCAGCATTAGGCACACAGGAAAGGGATGTGATTTGGAATCATCAAAACCTTCCCATAAGCTTGAGAAAGGTCTAGAAAAATCACCTGTAAAGGACATTATACACTCTTCGAAGAAGATTGCTAGAGATTATTCGCACAGTAATTCCCTTAAATCGAGCAATGTCGCAGCAAGAGTAAACTCCCAGGAAAAGGTATATATGCCTTTGTGTTTAGCTATTCAGTATAACTTCCAATGCATGTTTGATGTGTAAACTATGTTTTCTGATTGTCTCAGGAAGCAGGAAGCTCTTTTAGTAGCAGGTTTTGTAATCTGTCAGAAGAACTAGATTTACGCGAAAGACATTTCCTGCTCCTTGATTATCTGAGCACTTTCGGTCTCAAAGAATCTCACTTCATCCAGATGTATGACAGGCATATGAAAACCCTTGATATCAATGTTAAATCAGCAGAGGAAAGACTGAATTACTTGTTAAGTGTCGGTGTTAAACACAAAGATATCAGAAAGATAATTTTGAGACAGCCTCAAATTCTGGGTTATTCAGTGGAAAACAATCTCAAGTACCATGTTTCTTTCTTGAGAAGCCTGGGTATTCCTGAGTCCAGGGTAGGGCATATAATTACTGCCACCCCCTCGTTGTTCAATTACAGTATAGAAAAATCCTTGAAGCCCACGGTTAGATATTTGCTAGATGAAATAGGGATACCTGAGAAGGAATTAAGTAAGGTTGTGCAGCTAAGTCCTCAAATTCTGGTTCAGCGTATAGATAACACATGGACTTCTCGTCTAAATTTTCTGATAAAGGAATTGGATTCTCCTAGACGGAATATTGTAAAGATGGTCACAAAGCATCCTCAGATCCTTCACTACAGTGTTGAAGCTGGACTGCTCCCAAGAATCAATTTCTTACGAAGTATTGGGATGCGGAATTCTGACATAGTGACAATATTAACAAGGCTCACACAGGTCATCCTGTTTCCCTTTTGTAATTGGTTTGGCAACTCTACTAATAACTTGGGTTTGCCTAAGCATTCTCCTTGTCTGTAGTTTTTCCTTGAAATCTGGGGATGGATTAACTCATGTATGGTGTTACCATTATTTGCAGGTATTCTCGCTTTCGCTGGAAGGAAACCTGAAGCCCAAATATATGTACTTGATCCATGAACTTAGAAATGAGGCCCATTCTTTGACCAAATATCCAATGTACCTAAGTTTATCTCTGGACCAACGGATAAGGCCCCGCCATAGGTTCTTGGTTTCATTGAAGAAAGCTCCGAAAGGGCCATTTCCTTTGGGCTCATTATTCCCAACTGATGAATGTTTTTGCCAGAAGTGGGCGGGAACTAGCTTAGATAAATACTTGGATTTCCGCCAGAAGCTGCAGCTCAATGATTTTGCCAAAAAGTATGGACGGAAGTGAATGAGGGGTCTCTTTCCTAACATTTTAGTTATGGTGAAGAGCATATGTCCTCTTCATATAAACAAGATATATTTTTCTGCGTGCGTGCATTAGACGAGCAGGGTAGCTACCCATGGTAAAACATAATCTTGACTTCTTTCATTTCACACTTACACACTTCACTTGATTGTTGTTGCAAAATGTACTTATAACGTTTAAGCTTTTTGCCAGGCCTTGATTCAGTCTCTTTCTAAAGTTGGCTAAACAATTTGATGAATTCTGCAAGGTCTGCGTCCTAACTCATGTTTATGCTAACAAATCAACCCCGTGCACATCCAGTCTCCTAATACCAAGGTAACATTTTAATCATTGGTGCACTGAATTTGTGTTATGTTTTTACACATGAAAAAAACAGATATTATCATGATTGGTTCTCATTATCCACGTTTGTGGTTCTTAGAGATTAATTGTAAGGGTGGTATCGGTAACCGAACCGATATGAACTTATTACCAAAGGAACATTTTGGGTAACACCAAAATGCGAAATTGAACCCGAACCGACTTGTAGTCGGTAATCGAGTTTACCGAAAACTTGGTTCGGTTTCGGACCCAAAAAACCGAACAAAAAGAAAATGCCCGAGGGATATAAATGGTCGGGCCGGGTACGGGACTTGGCATACCCGTACCCGACCCGCATGCTAAAAAATGTACCTGTAATTGGCCCGCTACCCGATTATCCACCATTGAGTTCGAGTTGGGTTTTACCCGTCGGGTAATCGGGTACCCAAATTGGTATTATCGATTGGGTTTGTTCAGGGTTTTTTACCCGATTACCCGAATCTCACTCAACTACTCCACGATCGACCCGACGCGACCCTTCACATAAAAAAATGCACATGCATTCAAAATCATCACCATACCATCACAAATAGCAACATGATTGCATTACCACATAATAATGAATTATCATCAAATTTACAAGTGAATTCAAACTTAAAATTCCTTAGAAGTCATAAACCGATACGTCGTACAATAGTTCAAAACGGATGAAACTTCGATTAGTACATGACAATAATATGTTCCAAATGGTCCCCACAACTCCACATCGGATACCAACAATATAATATAAACTACTACTTGAAGCCACATTTCGAGTTTTCCACCCTCAAAATAAGTTACTCATGTGCCAACATATTCCTACAAAAATAAGCCTACAAAAATTGTAAATAAAGTGTAAATAAAAATACAATTGAAAAGTTGAGCAACAATTTAATTTATTTATCTTTTGCTCTTATTTCTTCCCTTCTACATTGACGTGCCAACAAATTCCTGTGAAAAGAAAGTATTCAACTTGTAAATAATGCATAAATAAAAATTCACTCGAAGAATTCAACAACAATTTATTTTGTTTACCTCTTCTTCCTCACCTTCATCACGAGTGAAAGCAGTGACACCATTAGCATTCTAGGTGATGGAAAAGAGGATATGGAAGCTCCATCTAAAAAATAATTATTAACAAATAAAAAATAAAGTTAGTTTATTATGAAATAAGAAATTACTCAATTCATGAATATCGAATAAAATATAAATCAAACCATCCATTATTTCTCATACCCAATCTTGGGAACACATCAATGCCTCCAAAGTTTCTCGATGAGCCTACTCCGATGCTTGCTCACAATTCTTCCACTCGTGCTAAAAGCAGCCTATGAAGCAACCGTGGAAACAAGAATGCCATATATATATATCTAGGGATCAAACGTAATGTGCTACACCTAATGCTCTATGTCTTCCACCAAGTCAAGATATCAAAATAATTATTTTGAGGCAATATTTTAATCACCAAGTATCTATTGAAATCAGACTTATCATTTTGACCATAGGAATGCTCACTTAAATACTCTTCAATTTCCTTCAACACTACGAGAAGTAGATGATAATTGGCTCCCATTGACACCACTAGCATCTGAAGACTTGTGCATTTTCAAATTCATACTACGCACTTCGGATTTTCTCCTCTCAATCAAAGCATCGGTTCCAACTAGTTTGTCGTAGTAATTATCAATCATTTTTAGCTTTAATCTAGGATCCAAAATGAGAGCAAGTGTTTTAGCTTGAGTGGAAGAATTGTGAGAGACGATGCTAGTTGGAGACGATGCTTGGATTGAGAATGAGAAGATCTGAAGTGCGTTGTATGAATTTTAAAATGCATACAAGTCTAAGTCTTCTGGTGTCAATGGGAGCCAATCATCTTGCTTATGGACAATATTGAAGAATATGTAAGTGAGCAATGCGAGGGTCAGAACGATAAGTCTGATAGTACTTGGCGGATAAATTGTTGCCTCTCGAAATAATGACTTTGATATCTTGACTTGGTGGAAGACAGCGGGCATTAGGTATAACACATTACGTTTGATTGCTAGAGATATTTATGTCATTCCTGTTTCCACGGTTTTTCAGAGCTGCTTTTAGCACAAGTGTTGCGAGCAAGTGCTCTCATCCCAGACACTTTGGAGGCATCGATGTGTTCCCAAGATTGGTTATGGGAAACCATGAATTGTTTGATTTATATTTTATTACATATTTATGAATTGAGTAATTCATATTAAGCTAACTTTACTTGTATTTTTTAATAATTATTTTCCAAATGGAGCCTCCACATCCTCTTTTCCACCATCTAGAAGTCAAACTTCTAATGGTGTAACTGCTTTCACTTGTGATGAAGATGAAAAAACAAGAGGTAAACAAATGAAATTGTTGCTCAATTCATCGGGTGAATTTTTATTCACAATTTGTATACTTTCTTTTTGTTGGCACGTCAATTTAGCTTATTTTGAGGGCGGAAAACTGGAACAAACCCAATCGGCAGTAACAATTCTGGTATCCGATTACCTGACGGGCAAAACCCAACCCGAACCCGGTGGTGGATAATCGGGTAGCTGGCTGGGTACGGGTATATTTTTTAGTAGGCGGGTCGGGTACGGGTATACCAAAACCCGTACTCCGCCCGACCCATTTACATCTTATAGGGCCTATCTATTGCATTGGCAAAATTGGTAGATCTTGCCAAGTATGCTTTAATGTATCGAGCATCACAACATAAATCCAAAGCAAAAAACCTCTTCCTTTCCTCTTCGTATGAAAATAAAGAATACGCCAAAAAAAAAGGGGGAAAGAAACAATGCACAGAATCTAACACAGCTTCTTGCCAGTTTCCAGTCTCTTCTACTTTCATAATTGAATCATTTGTCAGTTCGATTCTAAAATCTAAAATCTAAACACAGGGAAAGCTTGACATGGTGTTATGTGCTGCTTGAAAATATGGTACCCAAAAAGTGCTAGTTAGATCGAGATAGTCTT